ATTTTATTATTGCCCTTCTTGTCGGGAGTAATGTTGAAATCTTTTGTTGTTTATTTATCAGTTTCTAAAATTTTATAAAAAGAAATGAAAGAATATTAACAATAAAATTAATAATAATAATAAACAATTTTAATAATAGTAATAATAATACTGACAACAACACCAGTAGCCAGTCGTGCTTTAGACGGATGTTTTATCAGCTTTGTTGTTGAAATCAATATCGCCAACAACAACATCATCGACATCGACAACAACAACAACATCAAAAACCATCATTATCATCGTGTTCTTTTTCATAGCCATCATCATCATCATCATCCTCAACTAAAAAATAACCACGTCACTGTCATCACACCAATGACATCATCATCATCATAACAGCAACAATAATCAACAACAACAACAATATCATCATCATCACCGACAACAACGTCGTCATCATCATCATCACCGTCATCATGTCTTTGATATTGCAATTGCGTACTGCAGAAAACCTTAAGGGCAGATCAGAAAGAGTAGCCAAAGCTACATTCAGAGGTGATGATGATGATGATGGTGGTGGTGATGATGGTGATGGTGGTGGGGGTGGGAGGGTTATGATAGTGGTGGTAGTTTGTGAGGAGGATAACTCTAATGATGATGATGATAATGATAGTTTTGATGATGATAATGATAATTTTGATGATGATAATGATAATTTTGATGGTGATAATTATGACAATTAGCATGATAATGTTTATGATAATGCCATACGGGTACGAGGCGATTATCGAAACGGAATTGATTAAGAAGATAATGATGATGATGACGATGATGATGATGACGATGATAATGATGATGATGACGATGATAATGATGATGATGACGATGATAATGATGATGACGACGATGATAATGATGATGATGACGATGATAATGATGATGATGATGGTGACGATGGTGAGGAAGAAGATGATGATGAGGACGATGACGAATCGATATAAACAATCGCTTCAATTATTCATACACGCAATGGTTGGGTATTAATTTCCTTAATTGTAGTGCCGACGATACTAAAAACGAAATTACGAACAAGTGCGTATAGTAAAGCGACATCAGCCAACATTATTAAACAGCTTTTTTTCCTTACCTCTCTTTTCCTCTTTCTTTTTCCTCTTTCTCTCTCTCTCTCTCTTTTCCTTTCTCTCTTCTTTTCTTTCTCTCTCTCTTTCTTCCCCTCTCTCTCTCTTCTCTCTTTTTCTTTCTCGTTTCTTCTTTTACATCTCATTCATCTTCTGCCTTCTTTCACATTTTTTGTTCTCTCATATTTTTCATTAACCTTCTTCCGCCTTCTGCCCTCTCTTTTTCTTTTTTTTTCTTTTTATCCTCTTCTCTCTCTCTCTCTTTCTCTCTCTCTTATAAATACATAATACATTGATAAATACAGTTATCAATTTTGCGTTAACTTATTTTCTCACGAGTGACTCAACACGTTGAAATTGTTGTTATTCATATTTGTCCCTAAATTGCGCCATAATTAAGCTAACAACGTTGTTTCGGTTGAGTTGCCATCTTCAGAGTCTAGAAGTAAACAAGATTCAAGATTATTGTGAATTCGTTTAAAGGTAGCAGTAATAAAATGAAGTTTAATCTAATAAATAAACTATATTATAAACATGGAATTGTAAGAATAATTGGAATAAGCAAATTAAAGCCAGTATTACCTTGCAGTAATGATAAAATCACGAGACGTTAAATAAAATTTTTTAATAAAATGCAATCAGATAATTACAGAATTAAAATTAAAATGTAATAAAATTTCAAAAGCGACCAAACAATAAATTAAATTAAATTGTGAAATAAAATTATTGACAGTTGCTATTGTTATTACAAATAAAAATGGTACATTTTTTTTATAGTGATAGGATGAAATTTGCTTGAATTTTGAATGTATTTACATATGTTACACGAAAGTTAGTATGGCTATCATATGTAGGCAAATATAGACTAACACTTTAGTATACCCAAGTACACATACGTAAATAGGAAATTGTGTTAGTCATCAAATGAAGCGACAAAGTTACATGACGACGTTCTATTTGCGGCGTGAATTTGGCTGACAGTTTGGCGGTTATCTGGTGTCCGAAGGTATTCGTATCGTCGCTGGACCAGAAGATGTGGTGGATGGCTTGGACGCTAGCTGACGATATTGAGAAAATAATTGTAGTATGTGGTCGAAACTATTGAGTTGTTTGTTTTGTTGTTGTTGTTTATATTCATTGTTCTACAGGACCTCGCGTGTCTTCAGGGTGTGATTCGTAATTGAGGATCATTGTGTTCGAATCGAATAAGCTCCTTCCCAGTAAGTGGCCTATGGTGTCCACTTACCATATATGGTCTATTATGGCGCCTTTCTGTACATATGTGGTGAGTCTACAAAGGAGAGTAGTGCGTGTGTGACAGTTGTAGCTTTTCACAGCTCTGTAACTTAGATGGTGGTGGGGGATTGCTGCTGTTTTTATGACTAGATCGGAAGTGTGAGTGTAGAATATAATTAATTTTAACAGATTGCTGCTGTTGCAGACCGGGCTATTGGAATTAACGATTCGTTTGAGTTGTGATTCGTCCATTTTATAATAATTTTTGTGCACCGTGCATTTAATTTTCCGATCTCCTCTTGTCAGATGCAGTGTATATGTTTCTGTTTGTGTGTGCGTGTGTTTGTGTGTGCGTGCGTGTGTGTGTGTTGCTGTCTCTGATGAATACTAGCAAGAAAAATAAGTTATCCAATGAATGTTATTCTGGGAGATTGTTTGAATGAACGGGAAGTGGAATGAATCAATATCTAATTACCGTTCGCTTTGTCAGTTTCGTCATAAATTATTAAAAAATTATAATTAATTATTTAATTAATTAAAATAGGGTTTCATTAAAAACGAATTTGTTTGTGTATGTATCCGTGTGTGTATCTATGTATGTATTTTCATCGAGACTTTTTATTTATTTATAAATTCTGTGATGATTCGACCCTACGTGAACTCTTTTGCATGTCCACCAATTTATTATTTTTTGATTATACTTTCTACATATATAGATGTACATTAATGTATATTAAACAAACAAACACTCCTACCTACCAACACACACACAAACACACAGACACTAAATTAACGTTTCACATGCAAAGCTTGGACTACTTGAGAATCAAACTGATGTGGATGTGTGTGTGTGTGTGTGTTCTTTTTTTATTTCTCTTGGTCTCTCTTTTCTTCTCTCTCTTTCTATCCTCTTTTTATCTCCCGAACTCTTACGCTCTTTCTCTCTCTCTCTCTCTCTCTATATATATATATATATGTATGATATATATATATAATTATAGGATATATATATATATATATATATATATATATATATATATATATATGTGTGTGTGTGTGTGTGTGTGTGTGTGTGTTGGTAATAGACTATAATTTTTACAATATTCTATAAATTCTACCAAATCTACTGAATTAACATTCGGTAGAATTTATAGAGTATTGTAAATATATATATATATATATATATATATATATATATATATATATATATATATACGGGGTCATGAAACTAACTATATTTGTGTTAGTGTACTCCCTTGAGATGCCTTTAGATCGGCCACTAAACTTGTGTGAAGTTATTAAGTTATTTAATAATTGAATAGTAAAGTTCTTTTCGATATCTTGTTAAAAAAACTATTTTCATTTAGACAGGGACTGATCTAGACGACTTTGACAAGCGCGCCAAAGTTTTTGGAAATGTTTAAATAAAGTTGTGGCAGTTTACATAAAATTATGCTAGCGATCTTTCTGCTTGACTCGTCAATTTTTAGTCGACTTTTTTTTAAATAAATTTGCCACTGCATTTATGCGTAAATACATACACGGATACATACACAAACAAATTTATACAAACATTACCTTGATTATGAATATTAAACAGAAACAAAGAAGGCAAAATTTTTTGGGGGTTAAAATGGTGGAAGAAGCTGGCGGCCATTCTTTCAAACAGTTTTTAACCAAATGTTATAACGAGCTTCGTGAATTTGTCAACTCTGACAGAAATATTATGTGGTGAGTGCTACAACCGGGATCGGATTAACCAATAGACAAATGAGACGAATTTTAGGATCCGTTATTTGGAAGAGCTCGGATTTGGGCTCCACAAGTTTATATATTTTTCTGTTAACTTAAATTGCTGCCAACATCTTTGAAGTAAGAAAAAGATGCAAAACAAACAAGTTTTGTTGATATGCAATCCCAAATTCTACAAAAATGATAACATGTTTTAAAAACGGAGAATATTTCCATGCATTATTTAAGAAATTACTTACCCAGATCAAAACGACATTGATCAAACCAGGGGTGGGCAAACTACGGCCCTTAAAACTATTTTATGCGGCCCGCGAAAACTTATTGGCAAAAAAAAGGTCTTCAGCCAGACTTTATAACCAAAAAAGAGCCAAAAATTTCAAAAAAATTCTTCCCCGGGTCGAAAAAATTTGCTATATAAGTACATATACGGCCCTTCAAAGATTAAATATGTCTCAATGCGGCCCTCACAGCAAAAAGTTCGCCCACTCCTGAATTAAATAAATGAACACTCAAACGAACAAAAAAATAAATGATTAAACAAACAAAAAAAAACTATTCATCAAACTAACAGATGATGGACGTGTTTACACCTCGTTACACATACTATCACATCAAAACTTGCCCATACTAATTAACATACCTATGCATATACAAACATGCATACATATTTACAAAAATTCAAACACATATGAGACAAAAAACGTAAAAACAAACATACAAACGTATATACAGATAAGCAAGTAAACAAAGAAACATTCAAACAAACATGCTTGCATACCTATATAAATACATATACATACATACATTGTGAACTGGAACGCCCCTTGTCTTAAAAGATCAGTTGAACAATTGTTACAACTGAATGGCTCCACTTTTGACAAGGCCAGAATTATGGCTGTCAAAAACGAGTTGGGCTCCGCCTGGTTGAGGGCGCTACCCATCACCCCCTGCGGCACTAGATTGGATGACTCCTGTGTCCACGTGAGCCTGGGTCTGAGACTCGGAGCCCAGATCGTCACCGAATACGAATGCGCATGTGGGGCAAGGGTTGATGAACTTGGATACCATAGCCTTTCTTGTCGTCTAGGTCCTGGAAAACAAGCCAGACATACGGCTGTCAACGAATACCTGGTACAATGTTTTCAAAAGACTGGTATCCCGGTTATAAAAGAACCCATGGGTTTGATAGAGGAAAGAGCCTTTAGGCCTGATGGTTACACTATCACCCTATGGGCGCAGGGACGGTACCTTTTCGCACACCATGGCTGACCGATATATTGGCTATACGTCAGTGGAGGCGGGCACCGCTGTCCTTAAAGCGTCCGATTTTAAAAACGAAAAATATGTTTCATTAAATAAAATAAACAAAATATTTCAACCCATTTGCATTGAAACGTTTGGACCAACAGATAAGCAAACATCATTATTCAAAAAAGAATTAATAGAAAAAATAATCAATATAACGGGTGACCCTAATAAATGTAATTATTTAAAACAAACACTTTTCACTTTTATTACAAAAATTTAATTCCTTTTGCTTTCTGGATGGAGCTGCTAGATACCTGACTGTGCGAGACCAGGGACATAGGTAAAAGTTGAACTCGGAAACGATTGCAAGCCTAACCATGGCTTGTTCATCAAAACGGGTTCATACATACATACATACATACATACATACATACATACATACATACATACATACATACATACATACATACATACACACACACACACACACACACACACACACACACACACACACACACATACATACATACATAAACACACACACACATATATACATACATACATATATATATACAAACAAACATGCATACAAACAAACATACAAACCAAACGCAAAGACGTTAACAAAAACACCAGTTCATTATTTGTACAAACATCTATTATTAAAGAATCATTAGTGGAAGCGGAAGAGATAAACAATGTTGATGATGATGATATCAATGATGATAATGATGTCACTGGTGATGATGATGATGTTAATGATGATATATAGTAATAAACATCTTTCTTTTTATCATCGTCATCGTTGATATCATCATCATCAACATTAACAACATATCATCATCCCTTTCATTAACATCGTTATCATTATCATTCATGTCATCATCATCATCATCGTATCATCGTCATCATCATTAGCACCATCATCATCATCACCACCACCACCATCATCATCATGGCCACAGTCCACGCCACATTGGAATCTGTACTAATAATAACATTACTAAGAACATAAAACCTCGCATTTCTCTTCTTTTTCTCTTTATTTTTTTTTTTTATCTTTCACTTGCTTCACGTTCCTTTCTTCATTTCTTTTCCTCTCTTTCTGAACTTTTTCTTTCTGTCATTCGTTTCTTATGTTTTTCTATTATTTCATCTTTGCTTCTTTATTTTTGCTAACTTTTTATAATTAGAAATCAAGTCTCTATAGAACCTATAGGTCTTACTCTCTCTTTCTTTCTCTTTTTTTTATCTCTCTTTTTTAACTCGTTTTTTTTTCTTTCCTTCAATATGATGGATCTTACTCCAACTTTTATCCTCTCTTTTTAATTTTTTCTTCCTTCTTTTTTATTTTTCATTATGTCTTTCTTTCTTTTCTCTCTTTCTACTTTTCTCCCTTCATTTGAAACTCCCTTCTTTCTCTTTTTTACGGTTTTAGTCTTTCTTTTTCTTTCCTTGCATCACTTACTCATTTTTTTTGTTTCTGTTTCTCTCCGTTTCCCTTTTCTTCTTTTTCCTCTCTCTCTTCTTCTTTTTTTTTCTCTCTCCCCGACAGACCATATCATTATAAATAATTTATAGGACTGACTCAGCACCGCTCGGCGCCATAGCATTACTGCGCGGGGGGGACTATTTTTTAAACGCCGGTTCAATGATTTTGCTATTTTTTCATATTATTATGGATATTGTTTATATTGTTTACGTTTTTGTTTTGGCTGGCAGGAGAGTTCAGCTGGTAGCAGACTTCAGCTGATAGCAGAACTCATCTGATAGCAGAATTCAGCTAGTAGCAGAATTCAGCTGATAGCAGAATTCAGCTGGCAGCAGAATTCAGCTGGTAGCAGAATTCAGCTGGTAGCAGAGTTTAGCTGGTAAAAGAAGTCAGCCGGCATTGATGTAACGATGTCAACTTTTCAGCATACTACTGCAACAAAAGTCAGCCTAAATTTTCGTCAATTAAAAAAATGAGCAATCTTCAACGCGTCACTCACGTTTGTCTGAGGTAGGCGATTGTCTCTTTTTACATCCGAACCAACCCAGTCACTGCGACAATAATACCAGGCACATTACCCATCACACTATCGTGCCTTCAAACACACACACACATCCACACACACACACACATCCATACACACACACACATCCATACACATACACACACACGCTTGAATAGAATATATATAAACACATATATGAAACACGCGAGCATACACACCTCATACACATGTACTGTGTACAGGCTTTCGTGTCGTAATGATTTTGCTGACTGCTGTTTTGTGAAACGTTATAAATGATTTTTTGTAACGGGATGCGTTTCAGTGATTATGATACTTGCGATGATGACGACGAGAATAATTATGATATGACGCTACTACTACTGCTACAACTACTACTACTACTAATACTACTACTATTACTACTACTACTACTACTACTACTACATTTGACCATGATGATAATGATCATCATGGTCAAATGTTTATATCATTAGTAATAATAACTTATGATCCGAAAAATGCCGATTGCAAATACTGATGATAAGTAAGTGTCTATCATGAATATATTTATAGTGATTACATTAGTACACTACTACTACTACTACCACTACTACTACTACTACTACTACTACCACTACTACTACTACTACCACTACTACTACTACTGCTACTGCTAATAGTACTACTACCATTACTTCACTACTACTTTTACTACTACAAATGTTGATAATAATAATAATATTAATATTATTATTAATGATGATGATGATAAAAATAATAATAACAACAACAACAACAATAATAAAAATAATATTAAAACGTTTTTACATGGAAAAGATGATGGCAGGCGATCAGGGTAGTCAATAATTAAGTCGCTGATGATGATTGTTTCAAAAGATAGCGTGATAGAAAAATATGAAAGACTGGATGTATAAATGGATGGATGATTGAATGAATGAATGAATGAATGAATGAGTGAGTGAGTGAGTGAGTGAATGAATGAATGAATGATTAATTAATTAATGGATGAATAATTTATTAATGGATGGATGGATGTATAAAAACAAATAAAATAAAACAAAAGCTTAACAAAGACTTTAAAAAAAATTATTATTGCCATCTTCTTGAGAAATATAAAAAAGACAATAAAAGAATGTTGGCCATCTTAAGTAAATTAAAAAATGTAAAAGAAACACGAAAGTGTGAATCAAATAACGAATAATGATTCTAAAATATCAGATCCAGCAACTGCTTTGAACAATCACATCGTCAACCTAGCTCCAAACTTATCAAACTCTTAAAATTTTGTCAAACTGTCAATTCGGTTTTAAAGAAAAATTTTCGACGAGATAGCAATCGTAGAGTTAATTCGAAAAATTGGCTTCAACGCCAAACCTAAAAAATATTTAATCGGCACTATCTTTCGATTGCATCAATCAAAATATCATGTTGAACAAGCTTGAGGAATATGTTTTCAGAAACACATCGTTCCAATCGCTAAGAAGTTATTTGACCGACAGGAAACAATTTGTCTGTGTAAATAACGTAAACTCTGACACGCTCAACAACAATCAGGGTGTTTCTCGAGGTAGCATTCTGGGCGGGCCCACTGTTATTCATACTCTTCTTAAACGATTTACCAACCGCGTCAGCGTTTTTTAACTACATCATTTCTGCTGATGATGCAAGCGTCTTCAGTTGTAGCAAATTAATAAATGAGCTCATCATAAACACAAAAAAAGAGTTGAAGAATATTGTTTGCTGGTTTGAAGCCAATAACCTGTCGATCAACTCATCAAAGAGCCAAGTAATGGTATTTGGACCTGTTCAATATCTCAATTATAAAGAAACCTACAATTAAGCAACGATATACTTGAGGAAACATAACGTTTAAAATTTGTGGGCGTTTATTTTGATCCGAAACTTTCTTCCACATTAAATACATTGCAAGTAAGTTATCTAAGACAAAAGGAATGATGAATAAAGTTTAAATCATTCCTACCGAAGAAATGCTTGAACTTGTTGTACAACTTTCTGTACACTCCGTTGTACAACTCTCAGTGTACTTTGTTGATCACCTACTGCAACAGAGTCTGGGCATCATCCTATCATATATCAACGATGCCAATTGAACTCCTAATGAAAAGAGCCATTAGAATCATAACAGGATCGAAACGACGCCACTCAGTCTACCGTTATTCAGCATGAGACAAAATCTAAATTTCTCAAAACTGAATAATTATTTTCAAATAATTTTCATGTATTAAGCAATTGACAAACAAGTTGCCAAAATTATTTCAAAATTTTTTCAAAATCAAACAGCAATCTGGACGACAAAATAATTTCTTTCAACTCCAACAAATCAAAAACCAACATCACCTTCTCGCATGCTTATTGTAAAGGGCCAAGAACTTGGAATGAAATCGTGAACAGCGGTTTCAACGTCGAGTTAAACTCATTGAAAAGTTTTAAAAGGACTGAAGGGCTATTTACTTAATGATATGTGACCGTGAAAATTCTATTCAGAATTTCCATATTATATCTTGTCGTAGGAAACTATACGTATTTCTGTTAAAGTGACCATACTAGATAAATTTCTTTACAACATTTTCATGGTCATCCAGTCTTCTTATAATTATAATTAATAATTTGAGGAGATCTATCGAACGTTAGTATGTATAAATTTATGTATGTATGTACGTACGTACGTATGCATGCATGTAAGTTTGCATGTATGCATAAAACATTGTGTACAATATATGTACAATATTATGTACACAAATGCAGCCATCATACAATTTTATGTCAGTTGAAGTAAGCCGATTTCATTAATTTATTCATGCATATGTACGTATGTACGTATGTATGTATGTATGCATGTATGTATGTATGTTTGTTTGTTTGTATGTATGTATGTATGTATGTATGAATATTTGTTTGTATGTATATATGTATGTATGTATGTATGTATGTATGTATGTATGTATGTATGCATGCATGTATGTATGTATGTTTGTTTGTTTGTTTGTTTGTTTGTATGTATGTATATTTGTTTGTATGTATGTATGTATGTGTGTGTATGTATGTATGTATGTACGTGTGTGTGTGGGCGAGCCGAGTCTTTGGATAAAAACAAAAGCTGTAGAAGCTATCATTTCATTCCGACTCGTCACATAATACATGTTTGGAGATCACGCACAGATCCTGATTTAATATTATTTTTAATGCAAAATAAATTATACTTATTCAGTAAAAATTGAAATATTTTGTAGCATATATAATTTAATGTTAGGGTCGCCAATTATTTTCGGCAATTTTTGTGCCGATTAGCTCCAAGAAATGCTCTGTGTCTGTCGGTGGGGCCGAAACTTTCCACACAGATTGGCCAGATAAACTTTGTGCCATTATTAACAGTTTTGTATTTGTCGTCTTTAAAATCGGCTGTCATTACTGCCGCTGACCCAGTGTCAGTTGAGGCGTAATTATGTGGGAATGTGACGTCCCATGTCAGCGAACGGCCTTGAGACCACTGGACAATTGTGTAACTGTCAGAAATAGACTAAACTTACTATCAGATTTAAGCCCAGAGACTCTTTTATGGCTGGTATGCTGGCTTTTTGAAAGAGCTTCAATAGGAGGTCGTACACTGCGGAGTACCTTGCCGAATCCTAGTCTTCACTAAAGACCATAATGGCCCTGTAATGAAACGTCACCCCCAAATTGGGGTCACCAGCGGCAGACCAAGTTTTAAATGGAGGCTAATCCTGATGCTTGCTTCGTACATTACTTTCACCACAAATAGTGCTAGGCACAGCTCTCGACCGTCCAACTTACAACGGCCAACAACATGGCTCAGTCCATGATAGAAACATTTAGTTGGCTTACGTTATTAACTGCCTTGTTTGAAAAATGTGGATAACAATTCTCCAGCGATACCACTTCCTCACCAAATCGCCATAACATAAACACCAACTGTATGTGGGTGTGTGTATGTGTGCGTGTGTGTATGTGTGTGTGTATGTGTGTGTGTGTGAGTATGTGTGTGTGTGGTGTGTGTGTGTGTGTGTGTTTGTTTGTTTGTAGGCTTGTAATTTCATTAATGCTGTTTGCATGTTTGCATTATGTAATGATTATTCTGTTTGTTCATTCATTTCATAATTCAT